CTAGGGATTGGAAGAGAGTGTGTATAGTCCCTTTATATAAAGGGAAGGGGGACAAAAGAGATTGTAAAAATTATAGAGGAATAAGTTTACTGAGTCCTAGGTAGTAGGTTGGGAGACAGCAACTGCCCAGGGAGGTACTACCGTCCTGCCAAGTGAGTGTAAAACGAAAGCCTGTAATTGTTTTACATGATGGTAGGATTGCTGGTGTCCTTTTTTCTGTCTCATAAACATGCAAGATTTCAGGTATGTCTTACACTTAGGTCACACTACACATACATGTACAAGCATATACATGTATATACACACCCCTCTGGGTTTTCTTCTATTTTCTTTCTAGTTCTTGTTCTTGTTTATTTCCTCTTATCTCCATGGGGAAGTGGAACAGAATTCTTCCTCCGTGAGCCATGTGTGTTGTAAGAGGCGACTAAAATGCCAGGAGCAAAGGGCTAGTAACCCCTTCTCCTGTATATATTACTAAATGTAAAAGGAGAAACTTTCGTTTTTCTTTTTGGGCCACCCCACCTCGGTGGGATACGGTCGGTGTGTTCAAAGAAATAAATAAATGTATGAAAGAGGGGAAGGTACCTAGGGATTGGCGAAGAGCGTGTATAGTCCCTTTATATAAAGGGAAGGGGGACAAAAGAGATTGTACAAATTATAGAGGAATAAGTTTACTGATGCAAGGAGGGAAGAGTATATGGAGAAAAGGAGAGGTTAAGAGAGTGGTGAAGCAATGTAAAAAGAGAGCAAATGAGAGAGTGGGTGAGATGTTATCAACAAATTTTGTTGAAAATAAGAAAAAGTTTTGGAGTGAGATTAACAATTTAAGGAAGCCTAGAGAACAAATGGATTTGTCAGTTAAAAATAGGAGAGGAGAGTTATTAAATAGAGAGTTAGAGGTATTGGGAAGATGGAGGGAATATTTTGAGGAATTGTTGAATGTTGAAGAAGATAGGGAAGCTGTGATTTCGTGTATAGGGCAAGGAGGAATAACATCTTGTAGGAGTGAGGAAGAGCCAGTTGTGAGTGTGGGAGAAGTTCGTGAGGCAGTAGGTAAAATGAAAGGGGGTAAGGCAGTTAGGATTGATGGGATAAAGATAGAAATGTTAAAAGCAGGTAGGGATATAGTTTTGGAGTGGTTGGTGCTATTATTTAATAAATGTATAGAAGAGGGTAAGGTACCTAGGGATTGACAGAGAGCATACATAGTTCCTTTGTATAAAGGCAAAGGGGACAAAAGAGAGTGCAAAAATTATAAGGGAATAAGTCTTATATGGGTGTGAAGCACGGGTGATGAATGTTGCAGCGAGGAGAAGGCTGGAGGCAGTGGAGATGTCATGTCTGAGAGCAATGTGTGGTGTGAATATAATGCAGAGAATTCGTAGTTTGGAAGTTAGGAGGAGGTGCGGGATTACCAAAACTGTTGTCCAGAGGGCTGAGGAAGGGTTGTTGAGGTGGTTCGGACATGTGGAGAGAATGGAGAGAAACAGAATAACTTCAAGAGTTTATCAGTCTGTAGTGGAAGGAAGGCGGGATAGGGGTCGGCCTAGGAAAGGTTGGAGGGAGGGGGTAAAGGAGGTTTTGTGTGCGAGGGGCTTGGACTTCCAGCAGGCATGCGTGAGCGTGTTTGATAGGAGTGAATGGAGACATATGGTTTTTAATACTTGACGTGCTGTTGGAGTGTGAGCAAAGTAACATTTATGAAGGGGTTCAGGGAAACCGGCAGGCCGGACTTGAGTCCTGGAGATGGGAAGTACAGTGCCTGCACTCTGAAGGAGGGGTGTTTATGTTGCAGTTTAAAAACTGTAGTGTAAAGCACCCTTCTGGCAAGACAGTGATGGAGTGAATGATGGTAAAAGTTTTTCTTTTTCGGGCCACCCTGCCTTGGTGGGAATCGGCCAGTGTTAATAAAAAAAAAATAAGTTTACTGTGTCCTAAGTAGTAGGTTGGGAGACAGCAACTGCCCAGGGAGGTACTACCGTCCTGCCAAGTGAGTGTAAAATGAAAGCCTGTAATTGTTTTACATGATGGTAGGAATGCTGGTGTCCTTTTTTCTGTCTCATAAACATGCAAGATTTCAGGTATGTCTTGCTACTTCTACTTACAATTAGGTCACACTATACATACATGTACAGGCATATACAGTGGACCCCCGCCTTACGATGGTATCACGTTACGTTAAATCCGCCATATGATACATTTTAACGTAAAAATTTTGCCTCGCCTTATGCTAAAAAATTCGCCTTACGTGATTCGTCCAGGACGTGTCCCACGTGTGGCCTCAGCGCCAGTGTTTACAAGCAAGCCAGTGCGGTCGCATCTACGCATACATTTGGTACATTTCACATTATCCCAGTGTTTTTAGTACTTGTAACTGCAAAATAAGTCACCATGGACCCCAAGAAAGCTTCTAGTGCCATCCCTGTGGTAAAAAGGGTAAGAATTAGTATGGAATTGACAAAAGAGATTAAGGAAATGTGTGCAAAGTGGGTTGAACTGCAAACCTTTATGGATGAAAATCACCCTCACACAGCTATTGCAAGCCAGGCTGGTGACTATTACAATGGCAATGCTGTGAACCACTTTAGACAAATCATAAAGGAACAAGAGGTACAGAGCTCTATGGACAGATATGTTGTGCGACAGAGGTCTAGTGACTCTCAAGCTGGTCCTAGTGGCATTAAAAGAAGAAGGGAAGTAATCCTGGAAAAGGACTTGATACATCAAGTCCTAATGAAAGGGGATACCCCTTCTAAACAATAACAAATTCCACACTCTCCCCTCCTCCCATCCCATCAATCACCACCAGATCTTCAATAAAGGTAAGTGTCATGTATTCTATTCTTAGTAGAGTTGCAATTGTACATTTCTTCAGTTTGTGTGTATTAAAATTAATATTTCATGCAGTAAAAACTTTTTTTTTCATACTTTGGGGTGTCTTGCATGGATTAATTTGATTTCCATTATTTCCTATGAGGAAAATTAATTCGCCTTACGATAATTTCAGCATATGACGAGCTCTCAGGAACGGATTAATATCGTAAAGCGAGGGCCCAATGCATATACGCACACCCCTCTGGGTTTTCTGCTATTTTCTTTCTAGTTCTTGTTCTTGTTTATTTCCTCTTATCTCCAAGGAGAATTGAAACAGAATTCTTCCTCCGTAAGCCATGCATGTTGTAAGAGGCGACTAAAATGCCGGGAGCAAGGGGCTAGTAACCCCTTCTCCTGTATAAATTACTAAATTTGCAGATGTTGCATGTATATGGAATAGGTGGTAAGTTACTAAATGCTGTAAAGAGTTTTTATGAGGATAGTGAGGCTCAGGTTAGGGTGTGTAGAAGAGAGGGAGACTACGTCCCAGTAAAAGTAGGTCTTAGACAGGGATGTGTAATGTCACCATGGTTGTTTAATATATTTATAGATGGGGTTGTAAAAGAAGTAAATGCTAGGGTGTTTGGGAGGGGGTGGGATTAAATTATGGGGAATTAAATACAAAATGGGAAGTGACACAGTTACTTTTTGCTGATGATACTGTGCTTATAGGAGATTCTAAAGAAAAATTGCCAAGGCTTGTGGAAAAATTTGGGAGTGTGTGTAAAGGTAGAAAGTTGAAAGTGAACACAGAAAAGAGTAAGGTGATGAGGGTATCAAGTGATTTAGATAAAGAAAAATTGGTTATCAAATTGGGGAGGAGGAGTAAGGAAGAAGTGAATGTTTTCAGATATTTGGGAGTTGACGTGTCAGGGGATGGATTTATGAAGGATGAGGTTAATCATAGAATTGATGAAGGAAAAAAGGTGAGTGGTGCATTGAGGTATATGTGGAGGCAAAAAAATGTTATCTATGAAGGCAAAGAAAGGAATGTATGAAATTATAGTAGTACCAACACTCTTATATGGGTGTGAAGCTTGGGTCGTAAATGCTGCAGCGAGGAGGCGGTTGGAGGCAGTGGAGATGTCCTGTATAAGGGCAATGTGTGGTGTAAATATTATGCAAAAATTTCGGAGTGTGGAAATTAGAAGGTGTGGAGTTAAAAGTATTAGTCAGAGGGCTGAAGAGGGTTTGTTGAGGTGGTTTGGTCATTTAGAGAGAATGGATCAAAGTAGAATGACATGGAGAGAGTATAAATCTGTAGGGGAAGGAAGGCGGGGTAGGGGTCATCCTCGAAAATGTTGGAGGGAGGGGGTAAAGGAGGTGTCGTGGGCGAGGGGTTTGGACCTCCAGCAAGCACGCATGAGCGTGTTAGATAGGAGTGAATGGAGACGAATGGTACTTGGGACCTGACGAGCTGTTGGAGTGTGAGCAGGGTAATATTTAGTGAAGGGATTCAGGGAAACCGATTATTATATATAACTGGACTTGAGTCCTGGAAATGGGAAGTACAATGCCTGCACTCTAATTGAGGGGCTTGGGATATTGGCAGTTTGGAGGGATATATTGTGTATTTTTATATGTATATACTTCTAAACTGTTGTATTCTGGGCACCTCTGCAAAGACAGTGATTATGTGTGAGTGAGGTGAAAGTGTTGATGATGATGAAAGTATTTTCTTTTTGGGGATTTTCTTTCTTTTTGAGTCACCCTGCCTCAGTGGGAGATGGCCAATTTGTTGAAAAAAAAAATGAAGGAGAAGTAACATTTATTAGGAACCATCCTTGAAATTTAATGATGATGAGTAAAGGCCAAGTCTGGGATTAGAGATTTGAATTGTAGGGTATGTTATGGTTTTCTTGACTCACTTTTCCACCTTAATACATAACTGTTTATTAAGGTGCTTCTTTGTTGATTCCCATACACTGCACAAGATATAGATAGACAAGTGTGTTGTACAATATAGTGTAACAGATCTTATAAAGCATACCTGCTTTGAGTCTGGTGTTTTCCTTTTGAGCAACCTATCATACTTATTTGAACTTCCTTTCTATCGACAATCCATTATTAACAGTCCTGGTATAGGCTTTGATAATCAGAACCTGGTTCAAGTTTAAATTACTTACAGCAAAATCAGGATACTGTGCAGATGCTTGCTCAACACTTCCAGAGGTTTGGCCAGGGTATGGTGGTAGAGACTGTAGTGCTTTTAATATAGCAGCTCCTCGCCCACCACGACCAACAGTCAATTTAAGGTCATCTGTACTCATTTTGTTTGCATAAATCTGAAATTATTCTTGTATCAGATTAAGTTCTCAGGCTTATACTGTATAAAATAAAGAAGTAAACAATACAGGAATAATACAGGAAGGAGAGGTAGAAGCAGGAGAGATCCCTGAAGATTGATCTTGGTGTAGTACGTGTATATATATATTGTGTGCCTTGTATACATTAAGGATTAAGGATTTTATTTCTTTATATAGTTTATAATGAGTAATTACAATTTTGATTTGCTAAGTACAAAGAAAGCCACTATCATGCCAGGGCATTTTGGGCAGACTACACCTAATGCTTAACAGACTACTTAATACTAGGAATATTTATCACAATTTGTTTGAATTCAACATTGTTTTTTTATATTTCAATAGAGGTAGTTAGTGGTTTAGCAGTGATTGAATTTATAATTGAGACGAACTGATTAACAAGTTACAGAATATACATATATCATAGTTGGTTCAAATTGAACATCGTTTTTTATATTTCAACAGAGGTAGTTAGTGGTTTAGCAGTAATTGAATTTATAATTGAGATGAATTGATTAACAAGTTACAGCATATACATATATCATAGTTGGTTTGAATTGAACATCATTTTTTATATTTCAACAGAGGAAGTTAGTGTTGAGCAGTAACTGAATTAACAAGTAATTGATTAACAAGTCACAGTATTATATTTTTGCACATTTTACATAATGAGATTGAGACATGATAAGAGATTGCATATACATATAAGGGTTATCATAAAAAAAATTATTGAAAATACAGGATAGTTCAGATTTAATGTGTCTGATCTAAGGCCTACAAACTAGATAGTCATTAGAACTGCTATGTATACCTAAGCTCATGTAGGATGTAAATTCCAGACTCCCTTGCCAAAGTTAGTGAATACTTCCATGATAACTATCCAAGCTCTCTATACCTATCCCAACTACTGTAAATCAACTGAGGTTACTTTAATATGCTGAAAAACAGCATGAAACAAAGCAAGTACATATACTACCATTATTATATATGTATATAAGAAAATAGCTCATGTCCTATTATACCCATTGCAGCTTTGCTCAATAAAACAACAGCAATCCAGATTGGCAAGAGTTACACCAATCTACGAAAGTGGTAATCCAAAAGAAATCATTAATTACAGGCCAATTTCTAACTAGTCATAACTAGCCATTGTTATCTAAAAATTTTGAAAAAATAATGCATAAGTAAACACATGTTTTCATAACCAAACATGCCATTCTTAACTACTACCAATTTGGCTTCAGGTCTAGGAAACAACACCAATGGAACTACAATAATTAAAATGCTCAGCTCTTTGCTATTCATCTCTAGAAGACAATGAATATACATACAATGGGGCTTTTTATCAATCTAAACTCATGCTTTTGATACGCAAGATCACAATAGACTACTGCACATATCAGAACATTACTGATGCAGGGGGCCATGTACTAACAAAGTCATTGACTTTTATTGATATTATCCTAGGTAATTTACATGTATTATTACATATGACAATTGTACATATGTACAGAATACCTGTACCTTAATAAACTTACCTCAGTGGCAGATACTAGCAACTGACCATTAATGACAATGCTTCGAAAACTCTACCCATCAAGATACTACTGTGCAATCTATATCTACAGGACCTTAAATTCCAATATTAACCTTGACCTAAAATGCTTTCTTAATAGTTGACAGGATCCACAGGCATAACACCAGACACAAACATCTCTATGACATTCCCGTGTCCGACTAAAACTTTTACAAAATTCAATGTATTTCAAAGGACCTAAAATCTGGAACAACCTACCTGAAAACTCGAGAACTGCAGACACTCATCACTTTCAAAACTACAGTTAGAAAATATCTTATCTCCCTGATACACCCCGACAACTAACTACATGATAACCACCTAGTGGTTCACAATTACACTCACTCACCCACTGACTATAAACACAGAAATACTAATCTTAATCTTAAAATAATGAATCCTAACTAGTCATAAGTTGGCCTGTGATACTCCAATACTGAAACTATGTACTGTGCCAAAACAAAAGCATTCACATTGCTAAACTCACAAACTAGTATTTAGTCACTTAGCCATAATACCAACTTACCTCATAATTTGTAATATTTTAAATTTAAGAATTAATCTAAGTCTGCCCGAAATGCCTAGCCATGCTAGGTGTTCTAGTTGTACACTCTGTAATTATTATTTTACTACATGTAAACCACACAATAACCAAATTCTGTAAACTCAGCATTGTAATCCTTATAGAGAATAAACTTTGAATTTGAAGAAGCTGTCATCATGGGCTTAGCATCCCTGGTTTTGAAGGTTCTCATTATCCATCCTGATCATTTTTCTAGCAGATGCGATTGATAAGTGTTATGATCCTTGAAGGTGAGATCCTCCGACATGATCACTCCCAGGTCTTTGATGTTAGTTTTTTATTCTATTGTGTGGTTGGAATTTGTTTTATACTCTGATGAAATTTCAATTTCCTCACATTTACCATATTGGAGTAATAGAAATTTCTCATCGTTCAACTTCATGTTCTTTCTGCAGCCCATTGAAAGATTTGGTTGATGTCCCCCTGGAGCCTTGCAGTATCTGGAATGGAAGACACTGTCATGCAGATTCGGGTGTCATCTGCAAAGGAAGACATGATGCTGTGGCTGACATCCCTATCTATGTCAGATATGAGGATGAGGAACAAGATGGAAGCGATTACTGTGCCTTGCCGCCTCAGACTTTACTCAGTTGACTACTACTCTTTGTATTCTATTTGTCAGGAAATTACAGATCCATCAACCAACTTTTCCTGTTATTCCTTTAGCACGCATTTTGTGCGCTATTACACCATGGTCACACTTGTCGAAGGCTTTTGCAAAGTCTGTGTAGGCTATATCTACATTCTTTTTGTCTTCTAGTGCATCTAGGACCTTGTCGTAGTGATCCAGTAGTTGGGACAGACAGAAGCGACCTGCTCTAAACCCATGTAGACCTGGGTTGTGTAATTGATGGGTATCTAGATGGGTGGTGATCTTGCTTCTTAGGACCCTTTCAAAGATTTTTATGATATGGGATGTTAGCGCTATCAGTTGTAGTACTTTGCTATTGCTTTACCGTCCCTTTTGTGGAGTGGGGCTATGTCTGTTGTTTTTAGTAACTGTGGGACGAACCCCAGTGTCCATGCTCCCTCTCCATAGGATGGTAAAAGCTCGTGATAGGAGCTTCTTGCAGTTCTTGATGAACACGGAGTTCCACGAGTCTGGCCCTGGGGCAGAGTGCATGGGCATGTCATTTATCGCCTGTTCGAAGTCATTTGGCTTCAAGATAACATCATATAGGGTAACTTACTCTCCAACGGTATATAAGGGACTGGAGTGCTTACTCTCCATGTGACTGACCTAATGTAAGGTAACTTACTCCTCCAGCAGTAGATATGGGACTGGCGTGTTTGCTCTCCAAGAGACTGAAGGAGTGTTCTGGATATTTACCCACTACATTGTAATGCTGATGCTGGCCTAAGACACTTCCTGAAAAACTCACACTTCAAATAAACTGGGTTAAATAACTTTATTTAGGTATAGGTACACATAAATAGTTACACAAATTATCATACATATTAACGGTGCCCCGTGGCCTGGTGGTTAGTGCTCTTGCTTCACACAGTGAGGACCTGGGTTCGATTCCCAGTGAGGGTAGAAACATTGGGCGTGTTTCTTTACACCGGGGTATTAGTGGACTGGTGTGGGTCACATCCTGGGACAAAATTGAACTAATTTGCCGGAAATGCTCAGCATAACAAGGGGCTTTCTATATAGTAGTATGTCATTGATGTCAGCTAGGACTGTATACCTTGTACATGTACTTGTAGTAAATATTATTAGTTAGTAGTAGTAGTATTAGAATTAGTATTAGGTTATCTAGGATAAACAAAAAAAAAGTCAAAGTGACTAGTTTCCATCGGGATCCTTGTAATACTTCTCTGTATCATGTTCATATAAATAAATAAATAAGAGGTTACCAACCCTCCGGGTCAGTTATCAGAAAACAAATATTATTAGCATCATGGTACCCCTTGAAGGGTACCCGTAGGTAAGTTTATTTATGTACAGCTATACATAAGTACAATTATCATGCACAGTACAAATTATTTAGAATAACCCCAAAAAAAAGTCAGACATTTAAATTGGGGTCCTTGTAAGAGGGTTAGCATTATCCTGTTTAGAGAAGTTATGAGCGATTGTCAGCTAATTTTCGACTCCTGACACTCTTTTAGAACACGCAGGTTGTGAAGTGAACGCAAGAATTAATTAACTACTTACGTATTTGCCTAACAAGAGCTAAATAACTGTTATTGATTCACAACTTTGGTCGTCTCTCCTGAAATTGGAAACACACCTAAAACCTTTAAAATATTTGACGAGAGATAAATTTTACCACAGAATAACATTTTTACAGTTTTAATTACGTGTATTTAATGCAAGCGATACATTACATAAAAGAACTTTTATTCAAAGCGCAAATATAATACATTTTTGAGTGAAAACAGACTCTTATTCTCCTCCAAAATTCGTAAATGTGAAAGCGGGTGTTATTGTGAAAAATAAAAACAAATGTTTTAGTTGTATCTGAACTTTATTTTGACTTATTTTGAATGTAATTCACTTATAAACAATGCAAATAACATCAGCAACATTGAAAATTAAGACATGGAAATCTGATATGAAAAGCCAACCATATCAAATAATAATAAACAATAAAATTGTAATTTAAAGCAAAAAAATATATAAAAATAATTAATGTTACACTAAAGCAAATATTTTTAAGTACTTTATAAATGATGAAATTAACTAAAAACAGCTCATTTTTTTAAATTAAAAAGAACTAGGAGAGGCTGACCACGGCGGCTTTTTTTCACTTTCTTTTCCTGCCCCACGAGGATACCCGAGTAGTGAAGGGTGGTTTGTCCCAGTATATTTTTCATTTCTTTGGTTACTGTGTACTTTGTCTGCTCGGTGGGAATTTAATATACATTTTGAGGATCTGTGAGGTATGGCTGTCGTGCGTGAGTGAGAGGATATGATGCTGGAGTGTTGGTTTATTCGGGTTTTAATATGACAAGTATGAGGAGGGTTGTTTACATGATCTTGTATTACGGTCCATAAGTTAAGTTTTTTTTAGGTACAGGCACACATTAGTACAATTATCATACATAGTGTAAATTACCTAGGAGAACCCAAGAAAGTCAGTGACTTATTTCTACCTGGAGTCTTGGGTACTTATTTCCATTTTGGGTCCATTGGGACTGATTTCCATTTTGGGTCTACTGGGGACTTCCATTTTGGGTCTATTGGGGACTGATTTCCATTTTGGGTCTTGGGGACTTCCATTTTGGGTCTATTGGGGACTTCCATTTTGGGTCTATTGGGGACTTCCATTTTGGGTCTATTGGGGACTTCCATTTTGGGTCTATTGGAGACTTCCTTTGGGTCTATTGGGACTTCCATTTTGGTCTATTGGGGACTTCTTCCATTTTGGTCCTATGGGGGACTTCCATTTTGGGTCTTTGGGACTCCATTTGGGTCAATTGGGACTGATTTTCCATTTGGGTCTATTGGGGACTTCCATTTTGGGTCTATTGGGGACTTCCATTTTGGGTCTATTGGGGACTTCCATTTTGTGTCTATTGGGACTTCATTTTGGGGGGGGGGGTGCTAGGGGGGGGTAATCATTTTGGGTCAATTGGGACTTCCATTATTGGTCTATGGGGACTTCCATTTTGGGTCTATTGGGGACTTCCATTTTGGGTCTATTGGGGACTTCCATTTTGGGTCTATTGGGGACTTCCATTTTGGGTCTATTGGGGACTTCCATTTTGGGTCTATTGGGGACTTCCATTTTGGGTCTGCTGGGGACTTCCATTTTGGGTCCATGGTGCTTTTCTTTACTATTGACAGGATCTCTACACCAAAAGGTTTACTTAAATTCATATTTTAGGAATTAAAGTATCTTTGTCTGGCAGTGAAAGTGTTACATGCAACCTTAATGACCTGAAATGTAGTTTATAAGCTTTCAACACTTAATCTTGTTCAAGATGGGTGTCATGATGTTACTGAAGGACTCTTGATCCATGGTGAGGTCACAGATCCTGAGCTGCTTTGGGGATTAGCGTGGATGGTTACAAAGCATGGCTTGCTTCTGCAGTGTTTTAAAAATTGAGGTTGGAGAGTTGAAGGAGGAGGTCTTGCTTCTCCAGGAGGAGATTAGGAGGCTGAAGGTCCACCTCAATGGGTCTGGGAGAGAGTGTGAGGTGGCTGGAGTTGTGGGGAATGAGGCTTCTAGCAGTGAGGTGCAGTCTGTCTTTCGCTGTGAGGGGCTGTAGGTGGGGAGGTAGAAACGGCTACCAGCATGAGGTGCAGTCCAGCACCTGCTAAAAGGGGCGAGGGGAAACCCAGTAATGGGAGGAGAATCAGAATAATGAAAGTTAAGAGTGAAGATCTGAAGGTAGGAAATCCTTCTCTGTTCTTCAGGATGAATGTACTTCAGTGGCCAGTGAAGGTAAGGGTACTACTCCCCCTGCTAACAGAGGTAAGCAATTCTTGTGGTTGGTGATTCTCAGGTAAGATATATTGACCGTGCTTTTTGTAATAGGAATAAGAAGATGAGAGATAGTGTGCTTCCCGGGAGCTGGTGTTGGGGACATAGTTAAAGGCTGGATAATACATGTCAGGTAATGGGAACAAGCCAATTATCTGTCTCCCGTGCTGGTGGAAATGATATTGGGAAGGGTAGGAGAGAAGAGCTGCTAGATAATACAGGTCGCTATAGATTTCATTAAGTCTAAGGGAGGGTCCCAATCATATGTAGCATCTTGCCTAGAAGGGGAGTAGGAAATGAATGGTTGTCTAGGGCAATTGGTGTAAATTGGCTGGCTAGACAGATACTGCAAGGAACTTGCAATTCCCATCATTGACAACTGGAACAACTTTATGGCAAACATGATATGTATGCAAGGGATGGGGTACATCTCTCTGGGGCTGGGGGGTAGCATTGCAAACTCAATTGAGAAGGCCATTGGTGAAATGCCTTGATTTTAAATTTAAGAAGATAGAGATATGGGTGTGTGTGGGAAACAAGCAGGTTGCAACACTAGGGTTGGAAACAGTAAATGTATAAAAGGCATTCAGCATGAGGTTATAAATAAAGACAATAGATCAGGTCAGCAAAAAAAGGGGGACAGCAGAGGGGAGCAAGGGCTAGCTCCCTTAAGGTTTACTGTACTAATAGCAGGAGTGTAAGAAATAAGATAGATGAGCTAAGATTAATTGCAAGTGCAGGAAACATAGATATTATTGCTATAACAGAGACCTGGGTCAACCCGAAAGATAGAGAGATGCCCTCTGAATGTCACATACAAGGCTATAAATTATTCCACACTGACAGGGTCAACAGGAAGGGTGGTGGAGTAGCGATGTATGTCAGAGACAATTTAAATTGTTGTGTTAGACAAGATATAAAATTAGAAGCGTCAGCCACTGAATCTGTTTGGTTACAGCTTCTCGAGGGCCGAGAAAAACTAATTTTGGGTGTGATTTACAGGGCCCCAAATCTTGATAGGAGTGCAGTAAACTTCTATGGGACGAAATTCGTAAGGCATCTACATACGAAAATGTTGTGCTAATGGGGGATTTCAACTATAGACAGATTGACTGGAGCAATTTGACAGGAAATTTAGAGTCAGATGACTTTCTTGATACGATCCAGGATTGTTTTTTAAAACAGTTTGTGACAGAGCCAACTAGGGGAAATAACCTCCTTGACTTGGTTCTTGCCAGTAGGAAACACTAATTAATAATCTTGAGGTTAATGATGAGCTTGGGGAAAGTGATCACAAATCACTCAGTTTTAATATATCATGGAATTCCCCTAATAATGGCAATCAAGTCTCCGTCCCTGACTTTCGCTTGGCTGATTTCATAGGACTGAAAAATTACTTACGTGGGCTGAACTGGAATGACCTGACTAAGGGTCAGGTAGGTGGTGATGGTTGCCAATATGATGCTTTCCAGGGCATAGTTCTAGCTGCTCAGTCAAATTATGTTCCAAATAGGGAAATCAGATCAAATAAAAATGATCCTAAATGGATGAACAATAGATTAAAATATCTGATTGGTCAAAAGAGAGGCATATATAGGCAAATCAAAAGAGGAGAGGGGCAATTAAGAAATTGTTATATTCAGTTAAAGAGAGAAATAAAAAAGGGAATTAGAAAAACAAAGAGATTATGAGGTTAAAGTTGCAAGAGAATCGAAGACTAACCCAAAAGGATTCTTTCAGGTATACAGAAGTAAGATCAGGGACAAGATAGGCCCACTCAAAATTTCCTCGGGTCAGCTCACTGACAGTGATAAGGAAATGTGTAGAATTTTTAACACATACTTCCTCTCAGTTTTTACACAGGAGGATAGCAGCGATATTCCAGAAATGATAAATTATGTAGAACAGGACGATAATAAACTGTGCACGATTAGGGTCACAAGTGACATGGTCCTTTGGCAAATAGATAAATTAAAACCTAACAAATCCCCAGGCCCTGATGAACTGTATGCAAGGGTTCTAAAGGAATGTAAAGAGGAGCTTAGCAAACCTCTCTTTTCAACATATCACTACAAACTGGCATGGTGCCAGATAAGTGGAAAATGGCAAATGTGATACCTATTTTCAAAGCAGGTGACAGGTCCTTAGCTTCGAACTATAGACCAATAAGCCTAACCTCCATAGTGGGAAAATTTATGGAATCAATAATTGCCGAGGCAGTTCATAGCCACCTTGAAAAGCATAAATTAATCAACGAATCTCAGCATGGTTTTACAAAGGGGCATTCCTGCCTTATGAATTTATTAACTTTTTTCACTAAGGTATTTGAGGAGGTAGATCATGGTAATGAATATGATATTGTGTATATGGACTTCAGTAAGGCTTTTGACAGGGTCCCACATCAGAGACTATTAAGGAAAATTAAGGCACATGGAATAGGAGGAGAAATTTTTTCCTGGATAGAGGCATGGTTGACAAATAGGCAGCAGAGAGTTTGCATAAATGGGGAGAAATCAGAGTGGTGAAGCATCACGAGCGGTGTTCCACAGGGGTCAGTGTTGGGCCCCCTGCTGTTCACAATCTACATAAACGACATAGATGAGGGCATAAAGAGCGACATCAGCAAGTTTGCCGATGATACCAAAATAGGCCGTCGAATTCATTCTGACGAGGACATTAGAGCACTCCAGGAAGATTTGAATAGACTGATGCAGTGGTTGGAGAAGTGGCAGATGCAGTTTAATATAGACAAATGCAAAGTTCTAAATGTTGGACAGGACAATAACCATGCCACCTATAAACTAAATAATGTAGATCTTAACCCTTTGACTGTTTCAGGCCCCTCTCTGAAACTGTCATTCTATGTCGCTCAATTTTTTGAAAAAAAAAATTATTTTTTCTTATGAAATGATAGAGAATCTTTTCCCGATGGTAATGACACCAAAAGTTCGCAATTTGGTCGAAAACTCGTGGAATTATGCTCCCGCAAAGTTAGCGGTCTCGGCGACATATGCGTATCGGCGATTTCGCCGACTTTGAGCCCTATTTTCAGCCAATTCCATTGTTCCAGTTGACCAAACTCATAGCTATTTCTTTAGAACTCCATTTTATCTATCAGCTGAGTACAAGAAACCTCCCATTTACTAATTTGGACTACCCAATATGGTGGTCAGAAATTGGCAATTTGGCCAATTTCACGCAAACTAAAAAAAAGATGCCAATTTCAAAATAGGGTCCAGAATAAACAAGGTAGACATTCGTGGCACTAAAATAACATATGCTCTGTTCATTAGTCATATCTCTAGGCCCCTCTTGTATTATTATTACTTTCTATTTTTATTTTTTATTCATA